TCCAAGTTTCTCAGGGAAAATTCTCCTTGCCTTTTTCAGCTTCTGGTTGCTTCATATTTTACTTGGCTTGTGGCTGTATAACCCCAGTCTTTGCCTCAGTCTTCACATGGCCTTCTCCTCCTCTCCATCTATGTTTTCTCCTCTGCTACCTCTCATAAGGACAGTTGTCATTGGATTTAGGGCCCACCCAACTAATGCAGGATGATTGTATCTCAATATCCTACACTTAATTACCTCTGCAAAGAACCTGTTCCCAAATAAGGTCACATTCACAGTTCCAGGGGTTGTTACATGAACATATCTTTTAGAGGGCTATCATTCAACCTGCTACAATTGGGTAGGCCAAAACAGCCGTTGAAGCTAGAATCAAAATACTAAGCAATGTTTTTTTAATTCTCCTCACTTTCCCAACACTGCGTTCTTTGCTCTGGTCTGAGATATCTGGCTACTACTGCTTTGGCTCCCAATTGAATGTTGCCACAGAACTTAAGCTTCGCTCTTGGCTCCAAGATCTGGCTCATCATTTTGGTTCTCATTTTTTCTTAACTCCTAGAGTAACTGTTGGTATCACTTCTTGCATAAATGATTTCTACTGACTTTGCAGCCCATCCATGATGCCACCTTTCCATGCTCAGCAAAGCTTTCTTCCCCATTGCCCAGTCTTGTTACCAATACAACATTCCCATAGTGTTTTAGTTGGCCAAGTCCTTGTTGTATTAAGGGCATAATCCAGTGACCTTCCACAAGTTCTCCAAATATCCTGGGTGAAGCTAGAAACCACTGCCTCCCTAGAGTTGTGCTTATAAAAAATTTTAACCCTAGTATTAATGTGGAGCTATACTCCCCCATGGTGACGGATAGCAGGTGTTTGCCAGAGCCTCAGTATTCCATGGACTCCTTTTATCCTGAAGTTCTTTTCACTCAAAAGGACTGCTGCTGATTGCATGGGACTTACCCTATAAAAAATTGTATTTCAGACATGGTTTGAGATAGACCCATCTAGTTTCTTTCTTGTCCAAATTTCACATTCCATTTTTCTTGTTTATCTTTTGCTCTCTCAGTGATGATGTTCCTTTTTTTCTCTCTTCATAATGAACCAATTATGATTTTCCATTTGAAAATAAATTTCATCATAGTTTATTCCCTGTTTTCCAGCTCTTTTGTTTTTCCAAATGACTCAAATCTTAGCTGAGAATTTTGTTGGCAGCTCCAAAGTATGATGCACTGTAATTCTTTTAGAAACTGAAAGGTATAGGAACAAGTCTAGCTTTTGGCCTGAGAATCTTATACTAGAATCCTAAAACTGGGTGTATCATGTGATTTTGACTGACATATGTGCTGACCTTTCCTCCACCAAACAGGTGTCTAGGGACTTCATACTTCAACCGCCATCATAACTTTTGTGCCATAAAGATACATAAAAGCAATAAATGCAAGTATTGTGAAAATTACTTGTTATTCAGATATTTAAGTTTATAGTCTGGCTTTGCATTATTGCTTTATAAGTCTTTATAAGAGATCTCATACCTAAGGAAGTATGGAGATGTCAATTTGATCAAAACATCAAATTACTACCAGAATGAGATACAAGATATTTTTTGCAGAGTGCTAATGTGAAATCATCATAATGTGTTTATTATTTTACCTGAGCTTCCAAATTTGGGCAGCTTACCTAGTTCAGTAGACTGAGCACTAGATTGGCATTAAAGTACTCCTAAATTCTAACTTCAATTTTACTACTGATTAGCTGTATACAAGTGAACCATTTGTTGTTTCTTTGCCTTTGGCCTTGCAAAATGTGAAAGTAGAACAAGAGTAAGGCATGGCCATTTCAATCCATAATATTTAATTTGAGAAATTCTTGGCTGCAGGGCCAATTCTTGGCTACAGGGCTAGTTTTTACCTTCTAATAAAGTATTCATGAAACAGTGCACCCATAGCTTCTCCTCCTTGCTCCCAGGCTTCCCCTCAGTCTCACCCCAGTCTCTTCCAAACAAGGGTATTTTCTGTGGCCCATAGAGACTATCCCTAGAACTAAGTATGTGAACAATTTGAATATATATATATATATATATATATATATATATATATATATATA